TTGAATGTGTGGACTTCCCATCAATGGAGGATGAGGAAGAGCAGAGCCTCCCCCCCGCTCAATCTGGGCACAGCTCTCCATGGCTCTTTCTAGCTTTGTTCACTGGGGACAGCTCTGTTCACCCTCCTGCAGGCAACACTATGCTTCCATCTTTCCTCCAGGCCAGAACTGCATCTACCAAATGCTGCCCTCCACTAACCACATATCCTAGGCGTCTCAGCAGCTGTCCTTTACTGGAGTGGGTTTTATTGGCAAACTAGGAGGAAAAAGGGTGAATCATTCACCTCAGTGTGTGCTGTGAATGGTGCTATGGAGCTTAAGTTACTGAGCATCCATCCCCCTGTTACGCGGACAGGGCTGAAATAAAACACTCCTTTTTTCTCCTGCAGCGCAGTGCTTGTGAAGCCAGGCTGAACCGGAGTCCCGGCTGAATGGTAACAGCCACCCTCTGCACTGCACCTCTCAGATCTTGGAGATGGGCCTGTTCTTGGCTCATCCCTCTAGGCAAACAACAAGCAAAGAAAAGCACACATAAGAGAAAGCCAGTGCTCTGGCTAAAAGCCAGAGAGATAAGGTGCCCAGCTGTGGTTGAGTGCTCAGTGCTGCGAAGGTGGAGGTGAGCAAAAGCCTGTACTGCTCGTGTCTGGGGTGGGTTAGAGCAGCCTGGAGACTGCTCTAATTTGCACCCACGGCCAAGAACCCAATGCAGCTGTTCCAGCAGCTGGAGACTACCAGAGAGGCTTGGTCGCATTGCCTATGTCAGCAGCTTGGCAAGAAGAGCGGCGAGGCCACTGTTACAGGGGCTCTCCTGCACTCCCGTACTCAGAAAGGGTCTTGCAGCAGGGAGGGGAATTTCAGGCTGTTTTTTTCTGGAGCCATGCACAGAGACCAGACCGGCTGTGGGTCACTTTAGTGAGCTGGCAGCAAAGTCACAACCTGATTTATTAGTCCAGAGATATTCAGCTCATACCAATTCATCACTCAAGCGCCCCGGCACAGCTCTGGAGTGCACACATGGCAGTATTTAGGATCAAGGCTGAGACTCTCCTTCACAGTGAAATGCAGGAGGGAAACATTTTGTCTGAGAAATGCAGGGAAGCCAGGTTGAAGAAGTCAGGAACCCTAGACGGGGGCCTCTCTGAAGTCAGCTGAAGTCAGAGCCCTGCCCGAACCAAACGGCCTGTGCAGTTATCCTCATCGAGGCAAACCAGCTCTCATCATAGAGGCGCATGGAGGGACGTGCTCACGCAGCAGCCACCCTCCTCTGACCCCCCCAGCCTGGATGACCAGGACACTCAAAGGCTGGCCGAGGGCACCTTTCATCACAAATCCGGAGCAGAACTCGAACTCAGGGCCCTGAAGTCACACTTTGCCAGCACAGCCACGCATAAGTGAATCCTACCCGGGTTTCCTTGAATGCCAGGACCAGTTGGGAGACGGCTCTAAGCACTACCCCATGTGGGTGCTGCCTCATCTGTAGACAACGACACCCATCTGCCTTCCCCCAGCAGCTTCCCATGACTGTACCCTCCTCTGTCCGACCGTGAGCAGGGGAGGAAGGCTTGGAGGCTCCCCACACCTAAATGCAGCACGAATCCAGAAGAGCAACACCCATTAATGCCAGGCCCCCAGGGGAGCAGGCTTCTCCGGCGCGCTGTGCATCTGGAGACCGAGGCTCAATATGTTTGTAACAAATTGCTGGCTCTGGTGAGAGCTGAAATGAAGAGCCTTGTCAGTGGGATTCCCGAGAGACGCCCGTGATGTCTGGAACCAGTGCCACACCTGATCTCCAATCTTTTCGGATTAATCACATGCTGCAGGCAGCCAAAAAGCAAGGCCCTTTATTATGGTCTGGTGTTTCAGGGCTTATGTTCCCAGCCTCTTCAATGCTCCTTCTCGGGCAGCGACGTGTGCAATGTGGTCCAGCGTTACCTGTGGGCTCGCTGCGACCTTGTGCCACCCAGGCAGGGGCTGTTCCCCAGCCCTCCTCAGACAAAACCATGAGGGATCACAAATTGGGATGAGCAAGCCTGGAAACCTAACACCCCTGGCTTTTATGCCCCCACCCCGTGGACAACCACACCCTGGTGCCTACAGCTGTCTCAGCAAGGAACTGCCGGGCTGGAAAAGCACGATGGCACGACACACAGCTCGGAGAGTAGCAACCGCAAACAAGGAGCTTCAGTTCCACCTCCGGCACCCTCCAACGCCGCTTAGCAGCCTTAAAAAGCCATTAGCAGGAAAGCAAACAGATCACGCTGCAGCCCATTCACACCCCAGGCGCAGCTCAGCCTCCCTGTCTCACCAGCCCTACGCCTGACCTGTGCTCTCCAGCCGCGGACTCCACCTATCTTTCGACTGCTTCATTTTTGCCTCCCAATGCCCATCCATCCCGAAATCCTACAACGCCCCCCCAAAACTCAGTGCTCCCGGCCTGCCCTGTCTTCCCTCACCCCTCGGCCTAAAGCACAGCAGCAAACACCTTGGTGCCAGAGTCCAAATATTAAAGCACCGACAGGCTACGAGGGTCACATGCCCTGAAACCCCGTTCAGTAAATACTCTTATATTTCTGGCTCCTTTCCTATCAGTTTCTAGCCCAGCTCCTAAATCCTGTAGGAAGCAGTTGAAGTGAGAGCTGAATACTGTATATAAGGCTAAAAAAAAGGGGTAGAGAGAGAAGTCTGTTTTCTGGAAGTGGGGGGGAAGGGAAATCAATACTGTTTTGCTCCTTCTTAATTAGGGGAAGAGCAGAGGGAGTGACCTATGAAGACAGTCGTCAGGAGGCTGCTAGAGAATTGATCGGCAGGCTAGCGGGACTCATTTATATCGACGGTTGCGGGGAACAAAGGGGTAGGGGAAAGGATGGTACCAACCGCAGCCCAGTGCCGAACGCAGTAATGCCATAATCAAAAGATTTGTGGTGTATTAGAAAAGACCCATTATAATCCCCTGAATAAGTGCCCAGCAGCGCACACAGGGCCTCATTCTCAGCCCTGACTTACCCGACACGTCGACCCCGGCTCTCTGAGGCTCTTTCACCGCGTTAGAGACGGGCTTTCGCACGGAGCGGTCCCGGCGTGCCACACCTACTCAGGAGATGCAGGCAATTTCAAAACCGCCAGGGCTTTCGGCTAGTGCTTCCTATGGAATAATTAATCGAGTCATATTTCAGTTCAGCCACCGGCCATATGGCAGAAAAGAGGATTAAAAATCGCAGCCTCAAAATGCATTCGGCGAAATCCAGTTTATAAGCACAAATAAATACATAAATCAGGGTGGCGGTGGAAACAGCAGGCTGCCGGCAGAAAGGGAAAGGTTGCCATCTCGGGACGCGGCTAACCTTTCCTCTTCTGCAGCATGGAAAGGCAGGCTCAGCTCAGGTCCAAGCGGCTGGTTCACTTCGAAGAGGGGTGTTTGCCAGGCAGAATAAGGCTGCTTCTTTGTCATCTTTGCAAGGGCAGCTGGAAGCTGGCCAGAAGAGGAGAGTCCAACGCCAACCCCCGAATAACATATTGCACTGATAAATTGAATTTTAAATGACTTTCGTGGACTAGACCCAGCAAGGACCTGGCAGCGGACATTCATCCTGTCCAGCCTGCCGAGGCTCCATCCCTCCAGAACTTGATTAGGCTCTAACTTTATTAGCAATGAGCTTGTGGTTCCTGTTGAAAACCCAAACCCGTTCCCAAGCCTCCCGCGACCGAGGGACACGCCACCCCGCTCCGTCAGCCTCCCCGCAGCCCATCTGCCCCCCGCACCTGGGTTTTGCCCCCCCTGCACGTTTGTCACCCGGGACCATGGCAAAGGCACCTTTGCTCTGGTGACTTGTCTGTGCTGCTTCCTGCCACCGCATGGAAACACAAGAGACCTCGGAAAGTATTTTGAAAAAAAACAATCGCTTGCACGAAGGGCGGCGCAGGGGCAGCGGACCTTTGGGAGACAAGAGGGGGTTAGGCATGAAGTGCTGGCGGGTGGAAATACTTAAGCTTTGGGAGAGGGGCTGTGTTTTGGAAAGGGAAGCACTGGCGTGGGGTTGGGGGGCGAGTGCTTGCTTTTGCTTGGCAGGGCCAGGCGAGGAGGGGCAGCGGGGAAAGAAGAGCTGCATGCACAGCCCTTGGCGGGGCGGGGCGGGGCTGAGCCGCGCCGGGAGCGGAGCGGACAGACGTGCAGCGCGCTCGCAGCCCTTGCACACGCACACACGGATGGATATATATATATCTATAGATATAGATATATATATATGTACACACACACACACATACACACACACACCCTTACCTGGAGTGGCAACAGCCCGGCCCGACCCGCTCCCACCCGCTTTGTGCGCTGCCGCCGGCGGCAGGAACCAGCGCGGCGCCGCCTCCGTCGCCACCTCCCCTCCCCCTCCCCCGCGGCCCCGCCCCGCGCCTTTCTCCCGCCC